GAAAAGACTTGTATTGGGTTGGCCAAAAAGTTCACTTGGGTTTTTTTCTGTAAGATACATAATGGAAAAACCTGAATGATCTTTTTGGCCAACCCAACACATCATCACTGTAGTCATCTTCCACTGAATTTATCTCTGCCTCCACGTCTTCTCTCAAATTCTTCTCAAAGGAGGGGCTAATAGTCTTCACCACAGTAAGTGAACAGCTTTATCAATCACTGGCTGACCAAATCTCAGGCCCTCACTTTTTGTGTTAATTCTACTAACAGTTGACCTAAATCAGATTTTGGATTCAAGACAATACCAAGGCAATTTTATGGGATACTGAGATCAAGGGTCAAAAGAACATGATGATTTATATCTAAATCTTTTAGGCTTCTATTTGCGATTTCTGGGTTAATCCTAGAGATCAGGTTCAAACATACACCCACAGCAGCTTCATTTATAATGTGCCTCTTACTCCAAAATACCAAGCAAGTTTGCATTTAAAAGCTAAACATTTATTATTAATATTTAGTATTTTTTAAGATTCAAAAATAAACATGTGAATACCTTATTAAAAGTTATGAAACTTTTACATACATTTAACATTTGGGATTTTAAGTACATTTTCCAGAACTTTTTTTTAAAAATTGGGAGTATAGTTGTTTTACAATGTTGTATTAGTTTCTGCTCTGAATCAGCTATATATATATATACATAAATCCCCTCCATCTTAAGACCTCTCTCCCAACCCGAGATCCCAGCCCTCTGGATCATCACATAGCACTGAGCTGAGCTTCCTATGCTAGCTACATTTTACACATGATAGTAGCAGCAGTCAATCCCAATCTCCCAATTTGTCCCATCCCCCCCTTACCCCATCTGTGTCCACAAGTCCATTCTCTACATCTGCGTCTCTATTCCTGCCCTGGAAATAGGTGCACCATTTTCTAGATTCCACATATATGCGTTAAGATATTTATGTTTTTCTTTCTGACTTACTTAATTTTGTATGAGACTCTAGGTCTATCCACAGCTCTACAAATGACCTTACTCCATTCCTTTTTATGGTTGTGCAATATTCCATCACATACACACACACACACATCTTCTTTATCCATTCATCTCTTGTTGGACATTCAGGTTGTTTCCATATCCTGGCTCTTGTAAGTAGTGCTACAAATGAATATTGAGGTATATGTATCCTTCTGAATGATGGTTTTCTCAGGGTATATATGGGATTGCTGGGTTATGTTGTAGTTCTATTTTTAGTTTTTTTTTAAGGAACCCCCATACTGTTTTCCACAGTGACTGTCTCAATTTACATTCCCACCAACAGTGCATGAGGGTTCCCTTTTCTCCACACCCTCTCCAGCATTTGTTTGTAGATTTTTTGATGATCGACATTCTGACTGGTAAGAGGTGACACCTCGTAGTTTTGATTTGCATTTTCTAATAATTAGGGATATTGAGCATCTTTTCATGTGCTTCTTCACCATCTCTATGTCTTCTTTGGAGAGATACTTATGTCTTCCACCTATTTTTTTGAGTGGGTTGTTTTTTTGATATTGACCTGCATGAGCTGTTTATATATATTTTGGAGATTAAGCCTTTGTCCATTGCTTTGTTTGCAAATGTTTTCTCCCATTCTGAGGGTTGTCTTTTCATCTTGTTTATGGTTTATTGTGGAAAAATCTTTTAATTAGATCCCATTTGTTTTTATTTTCATCACTCTAGGGGGTGAGTTGAAAAAGATCTAGCTGTGGTTTATGTCAGAGTGTTTTTCCTGTTTTCCTCTAAGAGTTTTATAGTGTCCAGTCTTACATTTAGGTCTTTGATCCATTTTGAGTTTATTTTTGTGTATGGTGTTAGGTAGTGTTCTAATTTCATCCTTTTACATGTAGCTCTCCAGTCTCCCTAGCACCACTTATTGAAGAGGCTGTCTTTTCTCCATTGTATGTTCTTGCCTCCTTTGTTATAGGTACGTGGGTTTATCTCTGGGCTTCCGATCCTGTACCACTGATCTATATTTCTGTTTTTGTGCCAGTTACACTGTCTTGATTACTGTAGCTTTGTAGTATAGTTTGAAGTCACGGTGCCTGATTTCCTCCAGTTCAGTTTTTCTTTCTCAAGATCATTTTGGCTATTTGGGGTCTTCTGTGTTTCCATACAAATGGTAAAATTTTTTGTTCTAATTCTTATGAAGGATGCCATTGGTAATTTGATAGGAATTGCATTGACTCTGTAGATTGCTTTGGGTAGTGGAGTCTTTTCACAATTGGGAGTCTTCTCCCAATTCAAGAACATGGTATAAATAAATAATACTTAGTATTTTAAGGTTCAAAATAAATATATAAATACATTTCTAAAAGTTATGCAACTTTTAAATACATCTAACATTTAGGATTTTAAGTACATTATTCAGAACTTCTGATAGGCTTCCATAGTTGCATCTACTGAGTAGCACTCAGGAACTTATGGAAATGGGCTCACGGAACCCACACTGTTACTCTGAATTTCATCATATTGTCTGCCTTTTCATAGCTGATAAGCATGACAGTGTGGAATAACACTAGTCAATATACTGAAATGAAAAAGCATAATATGTAGAGTCATAGCTGGGACTCTCACAAATATTTACAACTTTTTGGCTACATAAGCTTAGGCAAGTCAACCTGCAGGAAATCTTTCATAGGGACCTTATAAGACTCTAATGAGATAAAGAAGTTCTTTGTAAAGCAAATGTCACATTCTCTACTAAAAATCACATTTCAGTGTAGAGAAGGAGGTCCGTTAAGTGTGGCCTTTTATATTCACAGAGAGAGAGACTCAGTGATTACCACTGAAGAACATCCTATGACCTATGGCATAATTCACCTTTATAAAGAGCCTTTAGTGGGATCTTACTGTATTTTTAAAATTTGAGACACACAAATTAAATTTTTTTCCAAGCTCCTCCAATTAGTAAAAGCTAACATGGCCAAAGCAGTTTCTCTGTGCCAGATACTATCCTAAGCACTTAATGTAAATAAGTTCATTTCCTCCTTAGATCTGCCCTGTGAGGTCGGCGCTATGGTTCTGCCCATTTTACAGGGGGGCACAGATTAGCGAAGAATCCACAATCAATCACAACCACAGGCAAAATTTCATCCATACTATTGTGTTAATCAGCATTCACTGCATTCTGTACATTTTGATATTTTCTCTTACTCCCATATATCAGACCCCTATTGAGAGAATATCAGTCCCTACTCCGATATTTCAGACTCCTATGAGAGACTCCTAAGAACTTCTCCAGTACTTGGGGAAAGAAGAAAATGTTGGACACAGATAATTCATAAACCTGGGATAATCAAACACAGCCTGATGAATTGTTACACTCTCTTGGTGGATATACCACGTCCATAGTGCCTGTGATATTGCAGACACGAGTCTACATATTCTTCCAAAGTCTGGAGTGGTGGGTAGGGGCTGTGCGTGTAACCAGAAGCCCAGGGATCTGCTCACCATGACTCTTGAAATAGTTATTGTGTGAAAAGGGCACATGGAATATTTTCCAGATTTCCCAACCACACAGTCTTCACCCTAGCTTTTGGCTTCAGCCACCGAAATCTGTGGTTTGGACATGAATCTGGAGTCGGTAATTGTTCTAGCACCCTGTGCTTCTCCTGCCTGCTCCAAAGTAGTCTGTTCTGTGTTCTGTTCCTGGGGGATTTGCTAGGAGAGGAATCATCTGAGTTGATAAATCTGTTAATACCTAGAGCCAATAACTCTGTGCATTATGTCTGTGGGGGTCTTTGATACCTTAGCTCACAATAGGAGTGACCAATTTGGGATTTAAAGGCGCTGTGGCAGGTTCCTGGGAAGCTGTTCTTCTAGAGAAGCCCTTTTTATTATTCCTCATAGGCTGCTTGCTGACGCATCAAGCCAGTGAGGCCAGCAGCCAGTATGGCTTCAAAGGCTGTAAGTTCTATTTGCAGCAAGTTTGTTCAAGTATAAGTTTATTTAAGCTGCTTGTACCTAAGCCGGAGAAGGCAATGGCACCCCACTCCAGTACTCTTGCCTGGAGAGTCCCATGGACGGAAGAGCCTCATAGGCTGCAGTCCATGGGGTCACTAAGAGTTGGATGCGACTGAGCAACTTCACTTTCACTTTTCACTTTCATGCATTGGAGAAGGAAATGGCAACCCACTCCAGTGTTCTTGCCTGGAGAATCCCAGGGACGGGGGAGCCTGGTGGGCTGCCGTCTATGGGGTCGCACAGAGTCGGACACGACTGAAGTGACTTAGCAACAGCAGTACCTAAGCAGCAGGGGCTAGAGTAACATATCAAATTCTCTGGCCCACAATGGTCAAAAAACTAACTGCAAAGTGCCCGTGCAGGAGATTTCCTTCAACTTGACGTTTTCCTTGAAAACAGAAATGGACTTAAAACCTGGGATAAGGCACTAATACAGTTAAATTACTCTGGCTGGTGGCTCAGCTGATAGTCCGCCTGCCAGTGCAGGAGACACGGGTTGATCCCTCAGTCGGGAAGATCCCCTGGATAAGGAAATAATAGCACCCCCTTCCAGTATTTCTGCCTGGGAAATCCCATGAACAGAGGAGCCTGGCGGGCTACAGTCCATAGGGTTATCCCCTGGATAAGGAAATAATAGCACCCCCTTCCAGTATTTCTGCCTGGGAAATCCCATGGACAGAGGAGCCTGGCGGGCTACAGTCCATAGGGTTGCAAAGAGTTGGACATGACTGAGCGCACACACAATGAAGGCAACGAGCAGAGCCAAGAATCTTATTTTGCAAAATTACTTGAAAGGCCCAAGGTGAAAGAAACATATAAAAAAATAATGGTGCAGCACTGTGTCCTTCTGCCAGGTGGATTCTTTGAGCACTGTGCTGCGCCCCCCCCCATTTCTATTATTAATTTTTCAGCAGATCTTTCAACACCATCACCATCAAAAAATTCCACATAACTCAAGACAGTAATTTACTCTTAAAGGAAACACACCTGCAACTTTATTAATAACCAACTTTTTTTTTTATTAGAGCAGATACAGTTGTGAAAACTGTACATTATACATTTTGGTTTCAAGGATTATAAATAACGGAACTCGCAGGTAGGGAGTTCTTTTTCACAGCAAGAAACTTTAAATAAACAAAGTCATGTTTTATTAAGTACATTGGCAGACTTCATGTGCTGTCCAAAATGTAGAGTACAGTATAACAACCCATTAGAAAGAGCCTTTCATGTAAAATACAGCTGTGCACATTTTAGAAAAATACCGACAATTTGAGCTTTGTTTTAAAAAAGCTTATAAATCATACATATATTTATAAATGGAACCAACATGCTCACTTTATAAACATATCCTTTATTATCTGTTACCCATTATTTCCAAAGCATTACACATTTGAAATAAACACTTAAGATTAAATATTTTATTTCATTTTTTTTTTAAAAAATCAGCTTTCCCAGCATCAAGAGCTATGGGGTTAGGATGGAGCAGTGAGAGTATGGAGACCGACACAGGAACTGAAACGTTTCTTGGGTAAAAATGTACTTCCTAGATTTAAAAGTCAAAGCAAAATGTAAAAAATAAATATACAAGTTGTAATTTTCATTTGCTCTCTTTCTGCTTTCTTCTTTATTACATATTGGTCACACCCAGGAGTTTCAAGATATTGTACTTCTGCAAAAAACACCACTGGGTTACTACCCTGCAGGTGACATTCAGTCCACATCTGTGCTAACATATGACTTCTCTCTTCTGCATCAAAACGGTAGCAAATAAGGTAAGAAGAATCTGATTAAACCATGCAGATCATGAAAATACTTAGGAATAGCTCCCTCTCCTCAATATTTTACCAAGATTGAATGGATAACTTTCCTCCCCTGATTTTCTTTTTAAATAATTATATAAAGCCCACATAGTTTCTCTAAATAAGCATGCTTCTGAGTAATAAAGAATAAATTATAAAACAGCAAAAAAATCCATTTATGTCAGAATAACAAAGGACTGCAAAAGACAGATACTTAAAAATTGTCTACGCCTTTAAAGTGTGAAATAAAATTACAAAAGGACTTTGAAAAACACGAAAGGCATAAAATTGAGAAGCACTGATTGAACAAAGCTTTATGCTCTACCTGAATGTATTCAATGAAAATTTGTAAGTTGTGGAACAAAAAAAGAGAAGAGCAGTTATTAATAGCATCTTGCTTAACTTTCATGGGAATTAACATAGCCACTGACAAGATTTTATTTGGTGGTTAAAGTACGTCAGCAATGAAACTGAATCCTTTGAACACTGATTACTGCAACCCATGCAACATTTTGACTATACTTCTTAGAATTCTGTTGTCTTTCAGCTTTTAAAATTTAGCACCTCTGAAGTGCATAAATAAATTCATCTCAGTAGTGTTAAAAATGTTTAAGTGATTTCTTAGGTATAATGCCTTCAAATTGCTAAATTTTAAATAGCCTTTTACAGGTTTAGGAAGACTAAACATGACACGAAGAATGATGTATTGCTATCAAAATAAACACATTTTCTCTAGAATTCTGTTGTTTTCTTTTCCTCGAGATGCGACATCTGTGCCTCCTCCGGCCAGGACCGCACACTGTAGGTGACCACACATCAGATTTAAGTAAACAGCAGAAATGAACAGAACCGTGCACAAGCCGACAAAACCTTCTCTCCCGGGACGTTCCAGGAGATGAGAAAGCAGCAGGTCGTAGCATAAGACTGGTGAGTGATGCTGCTGCCTACTTCCTCTACTGAGACTGGAGTGAATGTTGGAACCATGGCCGCAGCAACACAATCCTCCAACCGCATTCCTAGGGCGGTCGTTTGTTTCCCCAGCTCCCTACTAGCAACGTCAGATGGTAAAATAGTAAGGCAGCTGTTGACTTCCGTCAAAAAAAGAAAAAAAAAAAAAAGCAGCTCCATATATCTCCAGTTTAGTCACACTCTGCTAGGACAGATGGAGTAGCCAATGCCAAGCACTTCGCCGGATGGGGCTGCTTCAGCAGATGTTAAGAAAGAATGATTATTAAGTTTTGCTCTCCAACACGGTTGCCTGCTTCAGCTCCCAGAGGACCCCACAGCCACAACGCCTTCCCAGGGGGGACCGGACAGGTCCTCCGGCTGAATTTTCCATCTCTCTCTCTCTCGTGAGCCCATCCTAATTCCAAGCCTCCTTCCCTGTGTCTGAGTCTGCCTGGAGTGTGCCATTTAAAGGGCTGATGACACCACTGCAGAGGACCGTGGGCTCACACCATTAGTTGTCATGACTTCACCGAAGGGTCAAAACAGTGATATCATTAAGTAACTATGTTGAATCACATTCAGGCGCAGCCAAAATTAAATTGAAGGACAATGCACGGTTGTTAAAAAAAAAAAATGTAAATCTGAATAGGGGAAAAGAATGTGATAGATTGTGATTTTATATAGAAATTAAGGCTATTCTTACCTTTCCTAATTCCAATCAAGTTAGAAAGTGAACAAAAAGAATGGCCAACCCGATATTCAACAGCATGACGAGGATGATCATGATTGAATTAGGGCCCTGGAAATGAAACAGAACAAAATAGAAAATTCTAAGTGTCACTTTCCCACATTAATAGCAATAGTTAAATTAGCTCACAAAACCAATTACCAAAAATACTTAAAAAGACACAACACAGCTGCAGGTCCATATAGTCAAAGTTACGGTTTTTCTAGTAGTCATGTACAGGTGTGAGTTAGACCATAAAGAAGGCTGAGTGCCTAAGAATTGATGTTTTCAAACTGTGGTGCTGGAGAAGACTCTTGAGAG